TCCATGTATCCTAAAAAGACAATTAGTTAGTTAGTTCAATGTCATAAAGTACTTCAAATGATAATTTCAAACAAGAATATGCAATTCACGAAACATAATAATACAACGTTATCACAATCAACTACTATAAACAGAATGTATTCACACCACATACTTGCCTTATTTTCCAAAACTCCTCTATTCGAATATTCTTCTCATTTTGAGGAAATGATACGAACCGCCTACTATAACGAACAGAATCATGACAAATAAATAATTCATATTAGGATTCTATTCAAATATTTAGTTCAGTTCAAAGCACAGATTTTGAGTTCACTATATGGTAAAGGATCATACAACGAATGAACAATTCATAGCAAGATTTTATTCAAATATTTTATTCAGTTTGATGCCAAGATTTCAAGTACAATACACGTTGAAGGAGCACACATCAAATGAGCATCTTAAACAAATATTAATTTTACTTACTTTACTCGATTCGAAGCAAACATTTCGACTTCATTCCGTGGTGTAGGAACACACAAAAAATGAATAATTCAGACTAAGATTCTATTCAAGTATTTTCTTCACTTTTATGAGAATATTTTGAATTTATTTCTTGATGACGGAAAACATAACAACCAAGCACTTCAAACAAACATTCATTTCAGATATTTTATATAGTTTCCAGCAAACATTCCGACTTCATTTTATGGTACAGGAACACACAAGAAATGAATAATTTATACCAAGCTTCTGTTCAAACGCCTGATTCAGTTCAAAGACCAGATTTTGAGTTCAACATATAGAAGACGAGCACATGGCCAATGAATAACTCACATTAGGACACTTTTTGAATATTTTATTTATTTCGAAGCCCAAATTTCCAGTTCATTACATGACGGAGAACTATACAAAAAATGAATAATTCATACCAAGATTTTATTGGAATATTTTGCTTACATCGCAACAATGATTTCGGATTCTTTACAAGACGAAGTAACATACTACAAATCAATAATTCATAACAAGATTCTACTCGACTATTCTATTCAGTTCGAAGCAAAGATTTTCAGCTCATTAAATCGTCCAGCACCATACAATCAATCAATAATTCATACCAAGATTCTATTTGAACATCTTCTTCAGTTCGAACCACACATTTGGAGTTCATTACATAATGGAGAAACATACAAGAAATGAATAATTCACATTAACATTCTCTTCAATTATTTTGCCCCGTTGAAAGGAAACATTTGCAGTTCATTACACGCCACAACACCATACAACAAAAGAATAATTCATACTAAGATTTTAGTCGAACATCTTGTTGAGTTTCAAACAAAGATTTCAAGTTCATCACGTGGTCGAGGAATACACGACAAATAACTGAATGATAGCAAGATTCTGTTCAAATATTTTGTCCATTTCGTAGTCCAGGTTTTGGCTTCATGACGTATTGACAGATCACACTACAACCGAATACCTCCAACAAACATTTCTTTCAAATAGTTCGTTCAATCCTAAGGAAAAATTTGCCGTTAATTACATACTGAACGAAGACACGTGAAATAAACAATTCCTAATAAGATTCCATTCGAAATTTTCTTGAGTGTGGAATAAAGATTTTGAGTTTATCAGATAGTGGAGGAACATGGAAGAAATGAAGAACTTCTACTAAGATTCTACTCTAACACTGTGTTTAGTTCAAAGCAAAAGTTCCGAGTTCATTACATCCTGAAGGAACACAGAAAAAATGAATTACTCATAGAAAAATTGTATAAACATATTTTGTTCAATTCGAAGCACTGGTTCTGATTTCAATACATAGTCAATGAATGCACAACAAATGAATAAGTCACACAAACATTCATTTCATATATTTTATATCCTTCGAAGTAAATATTTCAAGGTCAACAGATTGGGAGGAAACATACAGCGAATGAATAATTCATACCAGCAATCCATTCAACATTTAATTAAGTGCGATGGATAGATTTCGAATTCATTACATTGTGAAGGAACAGGCGAAAAATGAATAACTCATACTAGTATTTCATTCGTTTATTTTGATCGGTTCCACGCCAACAATTCCAGTTTATTCCTGATACCAAAAAGACACGATAGTCGAGCAAGTCAAACAAACATTCAGTACAGATATTTTATAAAGTTCGAAGTGAGCATTACAAAGTCATTAGATGGTGGAAAAACATACAGAAAATGAATAATTCATACCACCATTCCATTCAATATTTTATTCAGTGCGATGGAAATATTTCGAGTTGATTGCATGTTGAAGGAACGGACGAAAAATGAATAATTCATA